CCATCTACGGTCACAAATTGTGATTCATTTTGGTTTATAAATTATTATTGCGATATACAGATGGCAATCGTTTCTATAATGTACGTCGATACTGACTTCTTCTTACTCACTCATTTGTGTCCTTTTTTTGTGGTGAGCTACAGTGTCATTGACACTTTCATTACATTTAATCCCGCATAGACCATGTTTGATATCCATCTAACCTTGATCTAACTGATTACTAATTACAGATTGTTCGATCAGTCAATTACTTGGCCATAAAAGGGTCAATGCCACCCGAACTTAGGTCAACCTGTGTATCATCCAATTAGTTACGGTATTATATTGCCTCATTCCTGAGTTACATGCAATATTAAATCCCTCGAGGGCAACATTAGGAAGTCCTTTCATTTTTACATTAACGATGTAACGATAGTTATATATTTATGTATCAGTGTGCAGGAGATAGCGTGCGGTGTACTTGTGTGTTGCAGATGAGCATTTGACTGGCATTTACAGGTGATTATAGGCGAAATAGAGTAGAGAAACATTAAGACTTTGGTAGTAAATAAATTTCGTGGTTATTTACTTCTTTTTTTAGACGTTTCAAGTGCTTGTGGCTAGTCACTGGTAGTTAATGACTGGTAGTTAATGAATGGTTTATTAATAACAGCTAGTTAATGACAGCCAGTTAACGGTTGCTTAATTGTTAATGGCTTCTAGTTCGTCACTGGTAGTTAATGTCAGACAGTCAGTCAGTCAGACAGACAGAGAGACAGACAGACAAACGGACGGACGGGCGGGCGAACGGACGGACAGGACAGAGAAAGAGTGAGAGAGAGAGAGACAGATAGAAAGAAAGAGAGAGGAGGTGAGAGAGAAAGAGGGAGAGCGAGAGAGGCTGGAAGAGAGTGAGCGAGAGAGAGAGAGAGAGAGAGAGAGAAGCGGGGAGAAAGAGGGCGAGAGAGAGAGAGCGCGCGAGAGAGAAAGAGAGAAAGAGAGCGAGAGAGAGAGAGAGAGAGAGAGAGAGAGAAAGGCAGAGAAAGAGGAAGAGAGAGAGAGAGAGAGAGAGAGAGAGAGAGAGAGAAAGGTAAACGTCTAGGTGGGTTCCGCGCGCGCAGCACGATCTGCACGGATTTCACAATTAAAAAGCAATCAATATTACGGCTTCGTGAAGTCTAATTCGGAAAGCATCAACATCTATTAGCGGTCACGACACGGCACGCTGCTTTCCGCTGCCCTGTCGTACGCTGTCTCTGCTACGATAGATGGCATCACCGCCTTTAATCATGATGAACAACCGCCAACAGTCAACCCTCTGTTAGCGGTCGGCTAAAAAGAACGGATACCTGTCTAGTAAGGAAACATTGGCATTACCTAATGGCAGTTACGTTGTGGATCCTCTTCATGGAACGGATAGTTGTCTATGAAGGACTCTCTTGGCGGTTCTCTTAAGTAGCCTTTATAAACATGTCAGACTGTACGTATATGGCGCCGAACGTTGCGTGTGCATTGGCTACTAACCATGTCCCTTTAATAATTTTCAATCGCGGACGCCCATGGCAGGGATTATATAGCTTTCAAAAAATCAGCAGCGGCGAGAGTAAATTAAACGAAAAATGGACTAGAAATCTAATCAGCCGAACTTAAAGGAAATCCTAAAAACGGACAGATGATGTCCAAATGCAATATAAAGATTGCGAATAGATAAATAGATAAATAGATAAATAAATAAATAAATAAATAAATAAATATATATCTGTAATGCTCGCCGTTAGAGATTAGTATAAAATATTTGCGAGCACATTATTCATGTCAATAGTACACAATGCACGCGCACACGCAGTGTGTGTGTGTGTGTGTGTGTGTGTGTGTGTTTGCAAGAACCCCGAGTAGCATGGCCGCTGGCTTGTTCATATACGCACGAACAGCAGCCAGCTTTACATGGGTTCGGCCATTTTTCATTCGAGGCTGTGACCGAAGAATCTTTTAGAGACTCGTATTTATTCTCGTCGTCATTCGTTTCTAAGTTGCTGAGAAATATTAGGGATCAGGGAGCAATCCATTGGGTTAATTTAATAACTACTACCTAGCTTTCCTCGCAGCCATACGTACATATAGGATTCTGAAATGTTCCTTGGTGCCTGCACGAGTTCGCGCCTGCGAATGTAGGTGCATGCTTGCGTGGAACTTCACTGTGACGCGTGTGTTTTCTGGGTGTGTTGTATGGTATAGGTTCGTCGGAGTGAGGTGGGGTGGGGGACGAGTTTATGATTAGGGTAGGTTTTTACAGATCATAGCCATAAACACTATGCTACAGAGACACGAGAGTCCAGTATGTGCGTATAAATACGTGTGTGGCAAATAGTTGTGTTTTTTTGCTGCTATGCTGAGTTGTTGAATAATAAAAATGCTTCTAAAAAAGTTCTTTTGCCCAATTCATGTTCACTTTTACATTGTATGGTTTGTAATATCGTTAATATATTGCCGAATGAGTTAGAGTCGCGTTATTGGTCTAGACGACATCATGTACAGTGTATAATAGCTGGTAAAGAAGTACAATCGTTATAAAAACAATAACGGGCATTATAAATATGACAGTGAAGGTAAGGGATCGACCGGTATGTTTTAATATGAATTGATCTATCCACCTGCGTGAATGACAGCCAACTGTGGGTAGTCATTGCTGTGACAGAGCGTTCTAAATGATAAGTTGGCGACGAAGTGTAGAGAGGTCACAATTTGGCATGCATGTCTTAAAATCACATGTATACTGTTCTAGCTTGACCTGCATAGCAACATTACTACTGCCAACCGGGATGTGATTTTCTCACTCAGACGGATAAGTAAATTTTTAGCTCACTTTGACATCGTCAAGCTGAGCTATTGCCATGGGTCGTCGTCCGTCGTACGTCCGTCCGTCCGTCCGTCCGTCCGTCAACATTTCGCTACGGTCAACGATAACTCAGGAACCGTTTGGCCCACATGTTTGAAATTGGGTATAGTTGTTACTGCTATGCTCCCATATTAAACGTCCTATTTTGACAAGTCGGTCGACGTACTTTCGAGCCACGGCAATTTTTTGGCAAAAATGGGAATTGCCATTAGTCAGTTCAGGTTCAACGGATTTTGCTCATTTTTGGTATGTGAATATGATTGTAAACATTTATATATGTTTTGAAAGCTGTATGATTAATTTGTAATTTAAGCTATACATTTGTCGTTTGTTACCTAATAAGTCTAAAACCAACAGTTAGATTCGCATTTCTGGTGATTAATGTTAAAAGTAATAAATTAATTTCAAACTTAGTGAACTGATTCGTTATTCTGTAAATTAATTAAAAACTTATAATTTCATTATTGTTAGGGTGATGAAGCAAGATTTGAACATGTGTGAGTTTATGTAACATGTTCTCAATTAAATTGCAAGTTAGTAAATTGGTTTGTTGTTTTGAAAATAAATTGTACGTTTAGAAAATGAATTTTTACAATGATGTAAAGGAATTTGTATATCAGGCAATTATTTTATAAAAGTTGTGAATTAATTTGCAAGTTAATAAATTAATTTGTTATTCTGTGAATTGATTTTAAATTTTGAATTTAAATTTCTCGAACAATATAAAGTAATTTGTATTTTTATTAATTAATTTGAAATGTTTTAAATTGATTTAAAATTGTGTATTTGAAATGTTCGAAAATGATTTTTGAAGGGGATGGCTTTTCATAATAATCTGCACATATTTCAGCTCGATGAAGATCAACTGAAATCTCTTCTAGAGCAAATAAGTTCACAGACTACAAAGCAGACAACAGTCAAGGTTAGTCAGTAACTTAGTCAACATTAATCAGGTAATGCAATGCAGGAGCCCTGTAGTCACAAAGGATATGCTACTGATGGGGTGCAATATATTTATTTATATAATAAATGGGGGGGGGGCAGGGGACTATTTCCAACACTATATACAAACAATTTAGCAACATAACCCCCACAGAATGAAACTTGATAAAACCTTCTGTACCTCTGTAGGTTTTAGTGATGGGTTTGTGTAGGTATAAATTTACCAGAAGTTATTGTAGAATATGAATTTGAATTAAAGGGTTTCCCCTATTTGTAGCTACTTGTAAATTTACATTAAGATCATCTTTAGGTAGTTTTACAAAAGCCAATCACTTTCTTCTGCTGCCACATTAGTAGGTGCTTAATTATGTGCCTTGCAATGGAGTCTGCTCACGTTATTAAAGTCTAATGAGTTGAGTTGTTAACTTGTTATGCAGGACTCTACTAATGTTATTGTAATGTTGTATTGTATTGTGAATGTATGAGTAAGTAAATGTGTTTTCACACATGTTTTTCCACATTTTTTCTTCCAGTTTGATAGAAAAAGGGCTCACATGGATTTTGACGATGACTTCTAGGGAAGCTGGCTTCCATCAAGTGTAGCGTCGGCAATCTGCGCATATCAGATTTTTTTTGTACTTGCGGTTAACTACCAAAGTGGTTTCTTATTGCCGAGTAACTAAATATGACAGCAGGTACCCATCTGATATGAGAATGACTAGGGCTCAAATTTCATTATGGCACCAATGGAAAATGCTGTAGTTGCTATTCTTGCTTAAAGGGAATGTATGCCTTCCGCCCTAAAATTTCGGGTGAAACTGAACGTTACACTTGCCTAGCCAAAAGACCTGCGATTCGACCACATGAAAAGAAAAACTATCTATTGTGTATCCAAGGGCACAGAGTTCTAGGGCACATGACATGTAGTAGAGTAACCACAATAATGCATACACAGTGGCGGTGTTGTTTCGAGAGGAAGGTGAATTTAACGAGTGCACATGGCATTGGTATTATTGCCAAGCTCTACTAATCCCTTGACTTTGCACCAAAAGGTATGCTAATGATAGTAATTCTTGCGATAAAAGGATACTTGGTGACAATTAATTGACTTTTAACTTTGCTTGTGTTTTTGCATGGGTTGTGCCTGTCTTTTCACGCATCTTGGATTGATCATTCACATTTAAATTAGTGTTCATTCAAATATGGACGTCTTGTATGCCAAAGCAACACAGTGATTGTCTGTCCTCCCTACCTCTTATGGTGAATTAATTTTAACTGCTAAAAAATCATCCATATGTTATAATAAAGATGAGTAGCTAACTGACAGGTTATCTGTTATTATGTTGCGATTTCAGTCAGTGTTGTGGTAGTACCCAGAGTTGAGAGTATGGTAGAGTGCATTCTTTAGAGTTTTTGTACTAGGTAGATTTTTTTTTCAGTGCGCATGCGTTTGTATTGACTATTGACTAATGGTTCGTATGCATACGTGTAAGCGTCTGCTTGCAAGTCTGCGAGAGTGCGCGTGATTGGGAGTGTTTGGAGTGTGTGATCACGTGTGTGCGTGTGTGTGCGTGCGTGCGTGCGTGCGTGCATGCGTGCACGTGTGTGTGTGCGTGTGTGTGTGTGTGTGTGTGTGTGTGTGTGTGTGTGTGTGTGTGTGTGTGTGTGTGTGTGTGTGTGTGTGTGTGTGTGTGTGTGTGTGTGTGTGTGTGTGTGTGTGTGTGTGTGTGTGTGTGTGTCGTGTGTGTGTGTGTGTGTGTGT